TATCACGAAAACGTATACTTGGCCTCATAGTCATTACATGGCTCATTTACAGTTCGAAGAAGGCAAGAACAGATCAAGGAAACTATAGTTTCCTGGACCTGGCTGTTCCTTATAAGGAACAGCCAGGTCCAGGAAGCAAGTGTAAATACACCTTCCAACATCTACTGTGACTTGTTTTGTATTGTTCTGCATATTGCTTCATTTGCTATGCTGGATACCTCAAATCACCCCCATATGTCAGGGTCGGCTAAAAGTAAAATCAGCAAGGGTAACATACTGGCAAGGGTAAGATGTAGATACGAGTGACGGGCAAGGGGTAGTAAAGAACCAGTAATAATTAATTCAGTAAAATGTTCCACGAGAGTCAGGATATTTTGGAAATTGCTAATAGAGACAGATTCTGATCAGGAAGGATTGCTAATGTTATTGAGGGTGTTGATTTGAAATCCGGACGTCGTGAGGTAAAAATACAGGTTCTTCCCGTAGGATATTCGGGGCCATGATGATCAGCTCAGGATTAATGTGGGACAGATCAAAGAGCATTGAAAAGAGCGAGTCGAAATTTTAAGCTTTCTGGTATTTTCTTGCTTTCTTTGAGCTGTCAAAGAGCCATGAGGCCAAGTAGACGTTTTCGTGATAAACTGTAAAAACTCTCCATACTGGGCCTCTCACGGGAGAAACGAGAAGTGTACGGTTAACGGTATAGAACGTTTCATATACCTCATTAAGGGCCATAATATAATATACACGTATTGCATTGTGTCGTATTGTGATTGAATACAGCTCGATATGTATTACTACTTACATCACCCACCAAATGCGATATGAACAACTTGGTTTGATTGTCGAGGAAAAAAAGAGGTCTGGTAATACAGGTATAGTAGGCTGGTTTAGATTAGCACAATTGACGGTACAGAGATGTTTTATTTATTACAAATGTGATTATCTTAACCCCGATTCATCATTGAAATCAATAAAATGACAGTAGAGCAGGCTATCGTTTCGATCTTGACTGTGCCATTGGTGCAGTTTCTGTGAAAATTAGTTTATGAAACTCTTATATCGCCTCGCGATCGTATGGGTAACGTTTTTCAGTTTCAGACCTCTTCACTTAGTAATTCCTGATTACTAAAATCTGCCGAGATTTACTGAACTCCAACTACAAATATTGGCGATTTAAGTATTCTTGAAACGAAAAATTCACTAAGTTTTTTTGAAAGGCATTTTTCTCCGTGTTTCATGCGATTTGATCACTTTTGGCGGAAAAAATATTTTGAATTTTCGAAACTTTTTCTAAGTCTCGAAAAAAAAATGTAAGTGAAAAATTTTAGAATTTTTTCTAAAAACTACTTTTCTGCGTGTTTTAAGCTATTCCGATCATTTTGAGCCAATAAAAAATTTTAGAATTTTGCTAATTAGTTAATTGATAATTATCCAATTAACTTATTATCTGACGTAAAAATTGTTTGAACAAAAGTTTTTCTTCCTGATAATATGAACACACTTGATTGATTCGCAACCTTTTACGATGTTCACAACTAAAGATATTCGACAAACAAGAAAGGTGGTAAAAAGTGGTAAAGTGGCAAAAAGTGGCCTTAAGACAAGTGGAAAAGTTTGGAAAAGTTGGTCAGCCATAAAGGGCACCTAATGGGACTCAAAAACGTCAAAAATCCTCTGAAAGCTTTGAGTGTCAGCAGATCGATTTTTTCAGACGGATCTGTCTGTACTAATGATCTGAAAACATGAGGCAAAACGGATTAGAAATGACGAAGTTATCAAGCATTTTCTGTATCTCTAACAAAATTGACTGGGTGATTATGTGACACCGTGACAAGACACCTTCATTGGGCACCATTAACAATTCCCATAATGTTTAACGGGGTGGTTAACGGGGTCACCCAATCACGTGATTCAGATTAGGTAGACCAATCACCTGATCACACAGGCTGCACGACGGCCAGGCCCCCTCATTATTCGGGGTCCCACGGAGATCAGATCATGACACCAATTAGTGACGTATGATTAGTGATGTGATCCATCAGTAGAATTTAATTGACCTAGAAATGGGCTAGATACAGAGTAGAGTTCACATGTCGACTCTGTTCACATAATATTATTAGTTAAATTGTGTTAATACTTTACCATACTACACGTAATAAAACAAATAAACCCTGTTTACAATGAGATAACATCACATGATCGAATCACGTGTTTTGATAACAAAGCTAGAGACTAAGGGGTATGGAGCACACTGCTTTTCATGTGTTTTATAGACTGACCATTAGTTCTTTTACACAGATTGTACTACTAGTCTTAACTATAATTATAAAGATTATCTTTTGTGGGGACCGAGGGCTCGTCGTCCGAGTATAAAGCTGTCACTCCTGATCACTACGTTCATAGAAATATTTCCTTTACCCTCATGAGATGTTGTCTGTATATATTGTCTTAACAATTGATCAATGTTCTCATTGTTCCAAATCTCATGATTCAATTTCACTTAACAAATTAACTCCTAACTAACCTTATGCCTAACTTACCTTATGCCTAACACGCATTACACATTATTTTATTTCCTCATCTTTGCCTTTGTTGATTGTTCATCTTCTCGCACAATTCCTTAAGTGGGTGAGTCATCGTCATGTGAATGTTTGCATAATGATCATTATGATCATTATGAGCCTAACATATTTTTTCCGGTTTACTTGCTACACGTTGCGATCAAAAGGGTGTGTCAACGATTTACTTTACTGAAGCCCGTACCTTTTAGTAGTACCTACCTCTCGATATACGATTTTGGAATCGAAGCTTCCCCCTTGTAATGCGACCACTTATGTGATATACGAGTCAAGCGGTCAGATCTTAAAGATCATGTTTACTTCTTAATGCAATGCCATGATGTACAGAGTTGACATGTGAACTCTACCCTGTATCTAGCCCATTTCTAGGTCAGTTAAATTCTACTGATGGATCACATCACTAATTATACGTCACTAATTGGTGATAGGAATACAAGGAATACAAGGAATACAATACAAGGAATACAAATTTAAAATCTTGAGCTACAATAGTAACTGTTAAGATAATAACAATATCATAAGATTTGAATTTATTATATTAATATAACTTAACTAAAGTGAAAAATAAAGATTTGACATAGAATATTTTGTTTTCAGTCGCCTTGGTGATGCTGTAATGCTTGAGCCAGGTCACTTTGCAGTTTGCACTCGTCGTTGCGCGAAAAGAAACAAAAGCGGGTACAGTGATTTTCAGTGTTCACTGTTCATGTACTGGCCAGAGAGTCAACAAATTTCTTGCGGTTGTTAAAACACGTAGTGGCAAACCTAGCAACGACTCTCGTGAGGTGGACTTGACTTTCGTACGTGATAAGTTCAATGATTTCACTGTTGTTGCTGATGAATTTGAGGACGTTTGCTCCAGGGATGACATTGTGAACAGAATAAGATGTCGCAGACGGTTTGATTGGATTTGATATGAGTGACTGAATCTTGTCTAGGACTTTTCGCCTCGATGCAGCGTTAAGATCACAATGGTTAAGGAAGTGATCTTCATTCTCAATAATACCAGAACCTAAGACTATATTGCACCAGGAGCATATTCGCTCGTCACGAGGAGTTTGATTATATGATCTGATCTACGTGGGACCCCTAATAATAAGGGGGCCTGGTCGTCGGCCTCTCATCACACATAATGAATAAACTCGTTATGCTTCATATCTCGGTCATCTGAGAAGCTACAGTTCTAATTTTTTTCAGGACAAACGTAATTCGATTGGCCAAAGACAATTCAATAAAATTTAGCTCGATCCGACTATCTAAACTATCAAATAAATGCAAAAATTAACCTTCATTTGAAAAAAATGAACTCGAATATTTTTCGGTTTGACAAATTCCCGAACCAGTGGTGGTAGTAAGTCATACCAGAAAGAATTATTTCAATTGGGCACTCAGTGACTGAGCTATTAAGGCCAACGTATGTCCACTGACTTTTGGCCCACCCTGTAGATTTTAGGTCACATTTCAACACTCAATTATATGTTTCATGTGTTCAATAGTTTGGCAATAGTAATGATAATCGCAATGATTGAGGTCCAATGATTTCTTCATAGCTTGTCATTGACAAGGCCAACATTAAACGTGACATTGATGATATTTAATTAACTTTTGTGTTACTTTAGTTTTAGTTATGATATTATAATTATATTCTAATAAACCTTTTGTAAACGGTCGAACCACCGGCACCGTCAACTGGCCAACAACAACAATAATTATTGAGATCATATGATTTGTTGGCGGTTAGAAAAGAGAAGGCCCAACTATAATAAATTCCCAACAAATAAAATTTAAACACATCAACAACATAATTCAAAAATAGATAAGAGCTCCATCATAAAGAAGGCTTGTGTCGAGTCTAAAATTGGACATTTTGCAAAAACTCAACAAATATTGACATTTGACAAGTTCATATTTCATAAACGGTTAAAGATCAAGTAACACGTTACGTGCCGCCTAGCTAGGATCAAAGACCGGACCACGTGCTGCAGTCTGTCTGCAGAACGTGCCGTCTAGCTTGAACGACGACTCCATCTCGTAATTCATTACGTGACGCGTTACGTGCCGTCTAGCTAGGGTCTTAGAGACGAAATTACTACAGTAATACATTTATCGGATCAAACGTTGCTGAATTTCCTTTTCACTAAAAAGCAATGATCCTAATGACTTGTCATATATCTCCTCAATTTAAGTTTTTAGCTTCCAGATACTTTTTCTAGTTCTTCACGTTAGACTAGATAAATCACATGTTTAAGCAAATTATATTATGTTTTATGTATTTTGATGATATAATATATTTATCATTATATTATGTTCTATAAATCCGAATAATCTTGTTTTAAGCTTCTTGTTCTAGATTAATTATGCTATTATAACTCATACCGTACCCTCGTCTTTTATGACTGAAGTCTAGTCCTACTCTGCAGATGAATAAGGATGATACCATTGCCACGAAAGGATGGAATAAAGTTCGAGATATTTCTGGGCTTAAAGCTAAGTTGCATAAAAAAGAAACAGTAAAAGGTCTGCTAAGGTTTTGGTGAGTTGTTGTCATGGTAATAAAGATTTAACAGGTTGTTTGTTGATATACGAGATACAGGGGTTCGCTTCAATGTCCACCTTATTGCCCGCATGCTAACTACCAATTATTATTTTATACTTTTGAAAAAAAAGAGCCGTGAACAATTACAAGGATCTAGGAAACACCACTATCGGATCTAGGAACCACCACTATCGGATCTAGGAACCATGACTATCGGATCTAGGAACCACCACTATCGGATCTAGGAACCACCACTATCGGATCTAGGAACCACCACTATCGGATCTAGGAACCACCACTATCGGATCTAGGAACCACCACTATCGGATCTAGGAACCACCACTATCGGATCTAGGAACCACCACTATCGGATCTAGGAACCACCACTACCGGATCTAGGAACCACCACTGTTGGATCTAGAAACCACCACTATCTGATCTAGGAACCACCACTATCGGATCTAGTAACCACCACTATCGGATCTCAACACTATCGGATCTCCACAGTTGAAGTTAACTCCATTGCTATCCTTCGATCTAACTGAGACTTAACCAACATACTGACATGTTGGCTTGTCAGCTTATTATGATCTGCATGTGTTGTGATTTAAACAGATTTGTAAGAGAATGACTGTCTGATTAGTAGAATGAACTTTGCATCACTTTTAACTGCTTTGTTCATGTGCATGTTTCCTCGCATTTGGAACAACAGGTCTGGTAAATCCGGGACCTTTAATTAAAGATTGGCCCAATGCCAGTACCTATACATTCTATTACAAGCGTCTTGCGTACTCCTAGATATTCGTATATGTATGTTTCATTACATTGATTAGACCATGCTATTATGCAGACGCGGAAGTTTAAACCTAGCCCATATCAGTACTACTGTTAAACACGCAGCTGTGTATCAAGCAGTTACAAGCATTTAGCTACTACATGAATTTAGTACATAGTGATCACAAGGTTATTATCATGTGTTGATGTCTTGCTTCTTTGCTGCTATTTTCACATTTCGCGAACTAAATTATACTGTCATAATGTTAAAGCTATGTAACGTTCCTACCGATGTATCTTTTGCTGTTTGTTTCACATATGTTACACACTATATTGTATCAGCGCACGTATCACATTCACATGTCATTACACATTTTTTTATACAGAAACCGGAAAAAATTATAATATTATGTACTGCGCTGTGTTGAGATTACCATTTTTCGTATTCGTTCTACCAGCTGACATAGTTATTTTGTCCAACAGTGTCTTTTCATTACTGTTTCGTCTGAGATTAACCCTCTTTAGATTAATGTTCGGATCCTCCATGCCTGACCGGGCACACTACTGGAGTGGAGACATCATATATTCACGTTTCCAGGCTTCTCACCAGAGATCTCACTACGGTAAGGTGAAATTATCTCTACCTGAAGCTCAAAAGATGGTTCTCCAAGGTTCAAAGACTCTGAAAATCACAAAGATCCAAGTAAATGGTTGCTGCAGAAATGGTACCATACATGCGTTTGCCCAACTAAAAGCTCAGACATCAAATCCAGATTTTTACTTGGTGTTGATAATGACATCCAATGGAAGTTGGTGGACGTTCAACATAGCCTGCTCGGAGGCTGGTAGTTTGCACATGGGACGTCTGGATGACTACTGTCCTGGAAGTGTTTCCACTGGCCTGGTGACCCCTGGAATTCTTTATCAGACACTGTCCTGGGTGGTTAGATGTGATGACAGCAACTCCAGCGTTCAGCAGCTCTTTAGGTGGCTGGATCAGAAATATATTCTCGACACTCAGTTCGAGGGTAGTCCCGCTGATTCCTTCCTTTTCGCTAAAAAGGTTTTTAACAAGCTTGCAAAGACAAAAAGTTGGGAGCGAATCCAGGGTATTCTCAGGAGTCCAGGATCACATATAGGAGGACATTCATGGACAAGAAAAATCCGGTACATCAGCCCTGAGGGCAGGGAAGATTTTGAAGACGACCAAGTCGGAGAACTTAGAGACAGAGTTGATCCTGGGAAATGTTGCATGATAACCAGAGTTAAAGTTTACAAGATACCTCTAAGTGAGAAATACTGGACTAACATGCTGCTTTTCCACTCATACGTGGTGTTCCAGACTCACACAGATGGAGATGAAATGTGCTGGTGGTCTCTAGAGAAGAACTGTCAAAGCATTGATCTGCAGAGAGGACTGACTGAACCAGAAGTTCGGGATTATTTACGTGGAGAGAAAAGATGTAAATCGTGGTTTTATTGGAAGCCCCAACTTATTGACGATGATATTTGTGCAGATTTTAGTCTGGCTGAGGTCGTTAATTTGCTCCACGAAAATGATGAGCTAAGCATTAAATATCACGGGACTACTGAGAACTGTCAAACCTTTGCTAAAGTTATTTTTGATAAGTTGGCGATCAGCAAAAAGCTAAATTATGGCATTCTTCCTCGAGGATCCGCTGAGATAAACCGTTTTTTGACAGGCTATAAAAATCCACGTCCCCGGAACACATGATAAAAGTAGGTGGGTAGCATATTTTAAAGTTAGCACACTTTCCAGCCTTACTGCCTTAGGTTATTGTGAAATATAACTTTAACGTTTTACTTATTGTGATTTGTATATTGTTAATTGTAGGCTTTTAATGCATTAGATAACATGCATTAGATAACATGCATTGGATAATGTCAAGATAAATTGCTAGTTCAATGTCCCTTAAGGCAAAATTAATATTATCTCCAAAAAATCGATGAGAAAATGCCCGCCTTCAACCTGATGAATTTACTTTTCATTCTTCTTTACCCTATATATTGATTATGTTTTATTTATTTTCGACACAATTTCTTTATTTCTCCCTTACATTTACAATCATCTTCAACAAGTACCAATACACTTTCATTTCGTTGATTAATTGGAATGAATGGAGAAATCAGCCCGAACGATCCGAACAAGTCGTTACTATGGAGAGATATCTGCTGCATTACACACAAGCATGTAAATATAATCGTTTCCGTGGTTATCTGGAGATGGTGATGAGATAATTACATCTGGTTACTAATTAGCGGGTATAGCTGTTATAGTGATCAGTTCCTTGCTTGCTCCGTATGATGAGCGGGGATCTAGTGTTAGGGTCTCCAAACTGCACGAGGGAAATGCAGGGTGGCAGTAGTGAGGATCATGTGAGAGATAATGATGGGTTGTTTAACTACCACAGTGGGATCGGGAGTGTTGGGAGTTTTCTCTCGACTAGAGGTCACGGGTAAATTTCTGTTTGTTTTTTTTAACCGCTGCTGTTTGTTTGTAAGTTTCGTTTGTACCAGTTTGGTTATATAAAATCGACCGTGGAACTAATTGACATATTTCACTTGGAACTTGTTTGCTTTTAAGAACCGTGTCTGATGCCCCAGATAGTTATAGTGAGGATCTTTGTTATCTTTGCAAAATGGTCTTATCTCCACTTCATTGCACTGCTTTTTGGATAGCATGTACGTCCTATTTTATAAGTTTCTGTCTATAACACTATCAGTGTCCCCATGGGGGGGGGGGGTACCAATGGGGGGTACCCATGTATCCCTACCAACCTTCTAAGTGTTTTCACTTTTCACTCTCCCCAATAATTATGATATCAAAATACTGGTTTGTTTCTCAACAATAAAGTGTAGAATGTTCAAAAAAGGACTTTTTACACTTACATTACACTTACATTACACTTACATTACACTTACATTATACTTACATTACACTTACATTACACTTACTTTACACTTACATTACACTTACTTTACACTTACATTACACTTACATTACACTTACATTACACTTACATTACACTTACATTACACTTACATTACACTTACATTACACTTACATTACACTTACATTACACTTACATTACACTTACATTACACTTACATTACACTTACATTACACTTACATTACACTTACATTACACTTACATTACACTTACATTACACTTACATTACACTTACATTACACTTACATTACACTTACATTACACTTACATTACACTTACATTACACTTACATTACACTTACATTACACTTACATTACACTTACATTACACTTACATTACACTTACATTACACTTACATTACACTTACATTACACTTACATTACACTTACATTACACTTACATTACACTTACATTACACTTACATTACACTTACATTACACTTACATTACACTTACATTACACTTACATTACACTTACATTACACTTACATTACACTTACATTACACTTACATTGCACTTACATTACACTTACATTACACTTACATTACACTTACATTACACTTACATTACACTTACATTACACTTACATTACACTTACATAATTACACTTACATTACACTTAAATAACATTTACATTACATTTACATTTACATTTACATTTACATTTACATTTACATTTACATTTACATTTACATTTACATTTACATTTACATTTACATTTACATTTACATTTACATTTACATTTACATTTACATTTACATTTACATTTACATTACATTTACATTTACATTTACATTTACATTTACTCCTACACTTACACTTACACTTAATGATATTCACAAGAGGATATAATCAATAAAAAGAAATTATATTGTTATTATAATTAATAAATCATTTTAAAGCCTTAATCTGATTCCTGCAAAAATTAAATCCTGCCTATTCATTTTATTTGCGCAGATATGAAAGATCATAGTATCACAGGGTTCAATGGCAGATAAAACAATTTTCTGACATCTAGCATTCTAGCAACCAGCGGTTAGAAATTCCAGAATCTTTCAGTATAATTTTAATTCTCCGGTTACTACTCGTTTGTGATAATTGAAAGTGTGGTACGTGGTAGATATTTATATAGCGTACTGTACAATCTAGAGTCTAGACCTATAAAACGGAGTACGAGTTACCACGTTAGTCTCTCCGCTAAGTCTACAATTCTGCTAACTAACAATTGAGTCTGAGGTCAATTAAATGTCCATATATATATGTATATGGACCATATATAATATATATATGTATATGGACTATAGACAATATTATATTCACACACAATTGGACAGCATGAGACAAGTGGAAAACAAACAAACGAATAGATTTCAAGCTCGTAAAGGATCGTTGCTTGAGAGTTGAGATCAGAGATTTCAAAACTCTAGTTGGACAGTCGAAGTTCTCATGTCGAACTACAGTACGTGTCGAACTTAAGTCCAGGTAGCGCGCTTTAGTTCGACAAAGTCGAACCTTAGGGTTTGTCGAACTACAGTACGTGTCGAACTAATGTGCGTGTCGAACTTGAGTACGTGTACCCAAGGTGAGGATTGCCTCGATCTTTCGGTTCCAGCTTGATCCCCTAGGCCATACGTCATGAGTAGAACCGAAGGATCAAAATATATGTTGCTTGTTGCTTGTATTAACTATAAAATATAAATTTTAAGGGATAAGGAAGTGTTTATAGGTTCTGAAACCTAGTTAAATCAATTTATCGTGCAATTTTAGGTTAAGAACAGTCATCAAAATGAGTTAATAACAAGGTCGATTTCTCAGTTATTTTTAAGCTTTCGTTCAGAAAATAATTCTGGACCTTCAAAGAACAAGAAGGAGTTACAAGCGTTCCATAAAACAAAATGTGCATCACCTCTTTCCTCTGCCGAGCAGGTACTTCCCCTTAAAAGTAAACAAATGTACATCACCTCTCTCCTCTGCTGAGCAGGTACTTACTATTAAAGTAAACAAATGTACCTCACCTCCCCACGAGAATCCACCTATATAATTTCAATGTTTGTCCTCTGCTATTATATTGTTTTTAATGGACTTTTAGCATTTCAACATCAAATTTTTGGTTCCGGAAACAAATCACTTTTAAATACTATGAACAAGATAATTGGACTAATTGTCACACTTTGCTTCCAGCTGCCTGCTTATTATAGGAATATGTTGAAAATATTGCTTAATTGTCAGGCGTATAATGAGAAGATGATGAGTGTTAATTTTCCTACATCTTGGTTATTTTCCGATTAAAATCCATACAGCAATCCATACAAATCATACTTAGTTAATGTTGATGTTAATGTTATGACAAGATTGTATGCGTTATATATAAGACGTTTTTCCTATTACAATCGTTCTAAACAAAACGATTTGTTGTTTGTTATTTTTGCATGTGTTTATACGTCTTATAGAATAAAGATGGCAAAAAGCCCTGAACATTCCCCGACATCATCTACATCATGTAGAAAGGCCAAATTCCATAGAAGAGCAAGTGTCGATTCCAGGAAGTACGAACAATACTTCTTTTCGATTTTCTTGACGATATTTTGATTTAAGAATAGAAACTTTACATCAAGAAGTTCTTTATTATTATTATCATATGACAAGTTGACCAAGCATCGACCTTTATAATGCATTGATTATACATTGACTTTTACTATCGATGTTTCTTTTCTTAAGAAGGTGAATCTTGGCTACAAATTTCAAGCTGGATCGCAATCCCTCGACAGATTGAAAATGAGTCGCTTTAGTCACGTTAAACGCTTATAGTAATACATTGTGTGTACAATATGTAGGAATATTATTATATGTTGTAAAGTTATAAACTCATAATATTGAAATTCGATAGTCTACTTCAATTGTGCCCATCACCAGCTCAACTATGAACTATGAACTATGAACTATGAACTATGAACTATGAACTATGAACTATGAACTAGCCCCAGTCGTCTACCTACATTTATATTATTTTATAGTAAAACCTTCTATGAGGATAATTCTAGGTTTATACATCTTGAAGTTCCAAGAAACTCAGTACAAGACGAATTGTCCAGCTTAATAAATTGTGGTGTTGTTTGCCTCCAAATTCGCCGCACAAAAAACTTGTTGGGTCTTGGCGCTGAAATATGTTGCCTCTGTTCCATGGCCCAGCCCAATTTGTTCATGCATATAAAGCAGCATGCCAAAAGTGAAAGGATAGTCCGGCAAGTCAGATCGTGGTTAGTAACGAAGAATACCTGACGTGAAGACGCCTGACGCTAGGAACCCCGAAAAACAAATTCTCCGACAGAAGGGTTGGTAGAGGTCCTGGAGGGTTAAATTCCAAGATAGATTCCAGCAAGTACGCCTTAAAATCGAAATTAGCAACAATAACTTAATTCATCAAATAAACTTCCAGCTAGACTCTAGAGCATGCCAATTGGAAATTCTGTTATGAAATACGTTTTAACAGTCTTTGCATAATAAATTTTAATCTAACATTTTGGCATGGAGCTGCTCCATGCTAAAACCCTTCAATGTTCAAGCTAAACTCCATTGGAACGGTCCATGTCTATCTGCTATCGTGCAGTTATTTTTATGCGAATTTGTATTATATTTGTTATGTGCTCTATTCGGTGTAACTCTTGACGATCATGGTAAATAACCATACAGAGGCTGACAGGGAGGCTCGAGATTCACATTTCTTAAACGCAAGTAGACGTACAAGAACAAGGCCATACAGCGGTCGGCTCGGAGCAGGGTATTAAAGTTAAACGTACACTGTTTCTCTTTATATTATATGCAGTAACTATTGAAGTATTGACTACGAAATTTTTGATATATTATCTATTCAAATTTAGATATAAGTATAACACTTTAAAGCCGGCATGGTTTTGCCAATTCGCAAGCTATTCCTCAATATACGCGGTATAATACACGAGTGTCATAGTTTTGGTTTTAACTCTATGTGGTTGACACTCACTCGTAATGCCGCATAATCTCAATCATCCTTCTCGCTACCAACTTTCATTGTTTTGGAAGAATCTCGGTATCGGGTATTACAACTTGAACATTTTATATTTCATTAAATATCTGGTAAATTTTATATCTTTGGTGAGTTGACTTTTTTGCAGATTTTGTTTGATTTCGGCGAGATCTTATTATTAAGATGGATTGTTAGTTAAATAGAGAAGTCGACACCAATTTTAAACTTCCCCCATTTCTTTAGAAGACGTTAATCTCAGCACGCTCACTAACATAAATTTAAAACTATATCTAAAAACCTTGTTAGATTATGTAAAATGACGGAAAGTGAAATTTAAAGAGGTGAATTTAATTCTGTGTAAATTCCCGGTGAACAGATTCTACGGTGTGGACAAATTCTGCACAATTAAATGCTGCAACTCTACAAATATATTCTGTGCTAATAATGACGTCACAAATCTACAAATATTTTAATTTCAGGTCTGATGTGAGTGTAATAGCCGGACCTGAGATAGACGATAAACTTCTCTCTGAGTTTCTGGATGATGATGGAGTCGATATAGTGGTCGCTAAGTTTATAAAGGTACAAAGTTAAGATTAGATCAGATTAGATCAGATTATTGATCTCTGAGCATGAAAGAATCTTTATACTGCACCCACCTGTAATAATTGCACGACCGAGTCCTTATTCGAACTAAATTTTTAAATGTTTTATTTCTAATGGAATGATTGTAGTGTACAATTACAGGTATAGCTTATAACTTAAATTTACACCTCAGGGACTTACCAGGAATGGGTTGAGACCTCTAACAGATCCAAGGTTTAACAGTACAATAGCGAGGATAAAGTCCTGGGATAACAATGAGGATCAGACTCTCATGCCTGAAACCATGCCCCTTGATGACTTCAAAAAGTAAGACCCAATCAACAAGCAAAGATTTAATCTGACATAAAATTAAAACTGTTTCTCTTTGCGATTAACTCGAACCTTGTTTTAACCATGTCACATTTTAACAATTTCACGATGCTAGCCTCACAATTCACTTTCTGAACGTAGCTTATTTGTTCAGGTGTACAATTCACTTTCTCAACGTAAGAACGTAGCTTATATTATTATTTGTTCAGGTGTCTGGCCTCCAACATGGTGTTCATACAGTCAGCCTTGTCAGGGAATCTCATCATCCCGGAGTGGAAGAAGTTCCATGATATGATCGAGGAGTTGTTTGAGAGCTGCAGACATCTTACTGAGGGGAAGGTTCATCTTGACAGTTCATTTCTTTATTCTTACCATAACACCACTATTTCCACTATACCATGCGGTGCTCTGAGATGCACAGTTGGTTTATAACGTTCATATAACCCTCCTCCGATCCTAGGTTACCACGTTGACTCCGCAACTAGCTAAAGAAGAAAACATGGACAAGTACGGTTTGTCAATCTGTACGGTGGACGGACAAAGACTGAGTCTAGGGGACTACAAGACAACCACCTCAGCAAACAATAACTTCCCCTTGATGGACCTGACTAGGGTGATCCTGTACGCGCTAGCTTGCACCGAGAAATCAGTTGAATACGTTCACAAGTTAGTAACACTAGTTAGTAACTCTATTTAGTAACTCTAGTTAGTAGCTCTAGTTAGTAACTCTAGTTAGTAACTCTAGTTAGTAGCTCTAGTTCACAAGTTAGTAACTCTAGTTAGTAACTCTAGTTAGTGGCTCTAGTTCACAAGTTAGTAACTCTAGTTAGTAACTCTAGTTAGTAATTCTAGTTAGTAACTCTAGTTATTAACTCTAGTTACTAACTCTAGTTAGTAACTCTTGTTAGTAACTCTAGTTAGTAACTCTAGTTAGTAACTCTAGTTAGTAACTCTAGTTAGTAACTCTAGTTAGTAACTCTAGTTAGTAACTCTAGTTAGTAACTCTAGTTAGTAACTCTAGTTAGTAACTCTAGTTAGTAACTCTAGTTAGTAACTCTAGTTAGTAACTCTAGTTAGTAACTCTAGTTAGTAACTCTAGTTAGTAACTCTAGTCAGTAACTCTAGTTAGTAACTCTAGTTAGTAACTTTAGTTAGTAACTCTAGTTAGTAACTCTAGTTAGTAACTCTAGTTAGTAACTCTAGTTAGTAACTCGAGTTAGTAACTCTAGTTCACAAGTTAGTAGCTCTAGTTAGTAACTCTAGTTCACAAGTTAGTAACTCTATAGTCTATACTATGAAACAGAGTCTCTGATCATTCAGAACATTTATTGTTGATGTAATTTCTGACTCTTCTGGCTGGTTATAGGTTGTCTTTACCGTTTACTATAATTCTTATTTTAATATAACAACCTTACCGTTTACTATAATGTTCTCTGAGCAAACTTCTGGAGGAGACAATGATATTACTACATATATATTTTATAGGCCCAATATTTTCATCAAATACGCAACTTATTCCAGGTATATAGGAAAGGAACCTAGTGGTTCGGAAGGCGAAGCTTTGGCTCTGAAGAATGGAAAACCCCACAATCCACTAATAATGACTGGAGGGCTAGCTGTCTCGTCCCTTATCAAACCCACTCTTTGCTTCTCAGAGAGATTCGAGTATTTCCAGAATAAAGTTCAAAGGTACGATACCAAGAAATTGCCATTCTTTCGTCAGGTACACAGTCAACCAATATTCAATAAATTATGACGATTTTAACATGTTGATACTTTTAAATTGAGCCTGAAAAACATAATATTTGTGCAGCTTTGTTGGTCAGACGGCACAACAGACAGAGTATGTAGGATTCAACAACCCCCTGGCTCTCTCCCTGAAGGACCATTCTAACAGACTGTACGCTATTGGTCACTTTCTCCGGGAGAACAAATGTTTCAACAAGGAGAACCCGGTATGTTTCACATCATGTGTTTGGGACCAGCTTATTATTATATTCCTCATCGTATTACCCTAGTTATGGAGCTGGTGTTCGCGTCTTTTTTGTAAGCTCCACACTTTTTTACTACTTTTCGAAACTGTTGAACTACCCAGGTTAATTTAGACGATGTGATGGAATTATTCCTGCATTACTGCTCCATCGACACCAACTGCGACAGTGCAGCAGTGATGGCTGCTACACTAGCTGCAGGCGGACTCTGTCCAATGACTGGAGAGAAAGTGGTGTATCCTGAAGCTGTGAGAAACTGTCTCAGTATGATGAACTGTTGTGGAGTTAACGATTACAGTGGAGAGTTCATGTTTGAGGTTAGAACTTTTACTATTGAGAATTATTTCGATCTGAATTTGTGTCTCTTAAGGGGGCATACACCAAAACAGTGGTTTGTGCCGTCCAGACCAAATGACCTCATAGGCAGTTCAGTGACCTTCTAGCGCACCGTTTCCACACCAAAAAAAATTATTTTGAGAATACCCATTTTTGTAATCGAGCATTTCCTGGTTAAGAGTGCAATTTTCGGAAAAAATTATTTTGTGGTTGAGACGCTATAAGTTAATCATTTCTTGCAGTATCGGGTTGAAATTTTGCTCGCCGTTTATTCACATCTATTTCAAGGTGTGTGTAAAATCTTGATATCGTATCTAAAAAGGCTGGTGTGTTATGAATTTTTAAAGTCAAAAAGCTAAAATTGTCCTTTTCAGGCTTATTTTAACAAAAAGTCAGTCAGGGAAGATCGGATTTTTTGATGCTTGACACCAAATTGTTCTCTGAATTCTGGCGCAGTTTTTGATGCCCTCAAAAATGTTTTTACTCATTCACCTTCTGATCTATTGGACCTCAAAGCCAAACAACAAATTTAGGCACATTTTTCGTTTTTAATATTTACTGATTTTTCTAAAATTTTGATAGGAATGTGCTAGTGACTTTTTGAAGGGTGCAAAATGACCGCAACTAGCACATTTATATATGAGTTATGAACAACAAAACACCCTAAAATGCTTCCCTTTGAAGTTATGGGAGGAAATGTGATTTTTTATCTGCAAAGCCAAAAAATCACATTTTCTCCCATAACTTCAAAGGGAAGCATTTTAGGGTGTTTTGTTGTTCATAACTCATATATAAATGTGCTAGTTGCGGTCATTTTGCATCCTTCAAAAAGTCACTAGCACATTCCTATCAAAATTTTAGAAAAATCAGTAAATATTAAAAACGAAAAATGTGCCTAAATTTGTTGTTTGGCTTTGAGGTCCAATAGATCAGAAGGTGAATGAGTAAAAACATTTTTGAGGGCATCAAAAACTGCGCCAGAATTCAGAGAACAATTTGATGTCAAGCATCAAAAAATCCGATCTTCCCTGACCGACTTTTTGTTAAAATAAGCCTGAAAAGGACAATTTTAGCTTTTTGACTTTAAAAATTCATAACACACCAGCCTTTTTAGATACGATATCAAGATTTTACACACACCTTGAAATAGATGTGAATAAACGGCGAGCAAAATTTCAACCCGATACTGCAAGAAATGATTAACTTATAGCGTCTCAACCACAAAATAATTTTTTCCGAAAATTGCACTCTTAACCAGGAAATGCTCGATTACAAAAATGGGTATTCTCAAAATAATTTTTTTTTGTGTGGAAACGGTGCGCTAGAAGGTCACTGAACTGCCTATGAGGTCATTTGGTCTGGACAGATTTGGTGTATGCCCCCTTAATAAGCGTCTAGTTAAGGTTTAGTCAATAGCTGACAATTTACAAGACTTTAATCGACCGTCTATTATCATAACAATTATTAGCTAAAGATAACTGTTACCTTCATGTTATAACATATTATATAAGTTTTAATACTTTCAACACTACTATATAACAAATAATTTGAGTGACAGGATGGATTACTGAGGGGCAATGTGTTAAGGTGATTTAAGTGGGTCCCAATCCCCACCGACCATTCTTCTTTGTGTCATGCTTATGTTCCTGAATACTTGCTTCATCATCTCCTTTTTATAACAATCACGGTGTCTTTATTGACTAAGTGCATTATAACATATTATACAAGTTATAATATTATGGATTCATTACAGGTCGGTCTACCTGCCAAAAGCAACAAAGCCGGTGCTCTGATAGTAGTTATTCCCAATGTCCTGGGTATGTGCATCTGGTCTCCTCGTCTTGATAGAAGTATGAACTCTGTCAGAGGCATCAAATTCTGCAGGGTTAGTTTCAAACTTTTCTTGTCGAAAAAATAGTGTGTTTTTGTGTTCTTCCTTTATTTTGTCTCTCTTTTTTATTTAAAAATCAAATAAATTTTACGCTTATCTTTCAGTTAATCTTTCAGTAATCACAACTAAATTTACATGAGACCAAAATCAGTAAAGCGAATATTTCAATAAAAGTTAGGGGAATACTATTGAAGCTACCAGACTGCAGCTGGAGTGAGAATAGTTTATGTTAAACATTTACAAAACTACTTCGGCTAACCCAAAACACGGTAGCGGGACCATAATGACATTGGGGCCGGAATAGAACTACAAGTACCTTAGTAAATCTGAACAGTGAACCACATGATTATTTCTTATTTATTTACTTGTTTTTGGTACTATAACCCAATCATTACATTTACAGAAATTTACGGAAAAGTTTGTGTTCCATCAATTTGACCCGTGCGGTAGAGGGTCACAGAAGGTCGATCCCAGACGACGGGACTTTACCGAGAGCAAGGTAATCCTCTCGCAAAACTGGCAATTGTCAGAAAATAAAATAAATAACTGAAACATTTTGAATTTAATTCATCAGAATTAGAATTCTTTTCAATATTAAACTTACCTGAGGACCCCAGGCTATTATGTTCATTAACATATATATATAACACACCGAATAAAGATTTGGCGGAATGACAGGCTGAGCGCGGCCCAGTAATATTAAACACTCAGCCAATTGCTCTAGACAAATTGAATCGAGATTTGACGCGTGCGACAAAATATTTAGAAGTTAAACTTTGCCTCCGACATTTTTGGATTGAAACCGCCTTGAATTGTTCAACTTCAAGTAAACAACGCCAATAATAATATCAGCAACATTTCAGGACCAACAAAGTCTGACAATTCTCTTCTCGGCGTTTAACGGTAAGATGACGACTCTATACCGCTATCTGAAAGAAGGAGTCAACTTTGGGTGGCCAGATTATGACGGCAGAACGGCGCTTCACCTGGCAGTTTGCGGAGGTAGGATCATAATATTAACTAAGTACTGATAGTGATTTTTTTAGTAGTGGAACAGCAATACTAAGGTAATGGGACTACTGCTGATCAGACCTCATTACTGATAGTGATTGTTCAAAATAATATTACTTTATTTTGAGATAGGCTCCGTTTTGAGCATGTTAACTTTGTGAGACTAGAATTTGCAAGCAGAGTGCTGAAAGTAATTGAGGATAAGATTAACCAGTTAAATGAACCAGTTAATTAACCAGTTAATTAACCAGTTAAATGAACCAGTTAATTAACCAGTTAATTAACCAGTTAATTAACCAGTTAAATGAACCAGTTAATTAGCCAGTTAAATAAACCCCACCAGCCCAGTACGACGTGTGCAGGTTCCTGATAGAGAAGTGTCAAGTGGACTGCAGTCCTGTGGACAGGTGGGACGCCACCCCACTGGACGACGCCATCAAGTACGGCAACCAGCAGATCATCACCTATCTCAAGAAGAAGGGAGCTCTCAGAGGCAATGCCATTGTACAGGCCGAGCAATAATAGCTGATATGTGGAACTGGATATTTGCAGCTAGGGGATATTTTGGTAGTGCTGGTATCAAGGCCCTCGTTGGCTTGCTATTTTCAAGTCTTTGACGACGTACAACTACAGCGTGATATGGCATCACACATCATTTTAAACGTTGCTATGCTTTAAAGATTGTAATTTTAAATAGAGATTCTTTGATTTTAAGGAATGATGATACTAGCTTATCCAGTCTCATAGGCAATTTTGATTTACTGTGTATTGTACGACCTTTTTTTGGTGTAATAAATCGTATCGATAGATTCGGGGTTGTCGCATGATACACATATTATAATTAACGAAGATATCCTTTTTTAGATTTTCTCAGATGTTCATTAACATTAAATCAGCAGTAGCGATGATTAAAGTTAAACTGATGGCATTCTTTACAATCACTTCCTTAGAGTTTCCTCATTTCAGACAAATAAGTTTCCTTTTTTAATTAATAAATGGCATACCATTTCTGTTCGACTTAATGATCAATTGTAGCAGCTGCTCGATAAGATAAATTTACTTTGAAATAACGATTATATGATTTTGAGGAATGACGAAGCAACCTGGACTTAAATGATAAAAAATGAATGCAAGTGTTACGTTTGAGAGGACTTCCTAACTTATTAACAAACTACTAGTACTAAGACCTCTTATTGAGTTATATTACATGTAGATTGTGTATGTTAGTTTGAATTTACGTTCTTTCATTATTACTGGATATTTATGCTTGCATGCCTAATAAGATGTTATTCGTTCTCACGTTCTGTTCTCAGGTGACCGCGAACTTTTGTTACTGGTAACATAACTTTATTTATTCTCTTCAAAAACAGAAAAGGTAACACTGAGAATATAAACATTCAGATCAGTGCATTAGCGCGCAATGAAATATTGGGCTGCGCCGAGCTATAAAGGATTAACTTGTATCAGTGTATCTCTTAGTGACCCCCATTTTCATTTCACTTAGTGGGTGTCAGTCGTATTGCTTTAGTTCGCCTGATATGTGATATCACCCCTGTCGAACTTCGGTACATGTCGAACTAGAGTCCGAAGGTAGCGTACTCTAGTTCGACAAATAGTTTCTGCTTGTGACCCAAAGCTGCAAAGGCTATTGCCATCATAGGATCACAGGGTTCAATGGCAGATAAAATTAAAACAATTTTCAGACATCTAGATAGCAACCAGCGGTTAGAAATTCCAGAACCTTTCCACTTTCAGTAGTTTTAATTGTCCTGTTTGCCACTCAGTTCTGGTCTAGCTAACAGGAAAATATATTGATATCCGACTGTTTCCGGTTCAGCAGCCAAATCTCTAGACCGGTACTCTGTTACTAGTCGTCTGTGATAATATAAAGTGTGGTATGTGGTAGATATTTATATAGCGTACTCCACAATCTAGATCTATAAAACAGGGAACGAGTTACCACGTTGTCGTTAGTCTTTTATCTCTCCGCTAAGTCTACAATAATTCTGCTAGCTAACAATTGAGTGTGTGGTCAATTAAATGTTCATAAATATAGATTATAGGGGCCTTATAGAGATTACACTCCACATTCACACATAATTGAACAGCATGAGACAAGTGGAAAACATGAAACAAACGAATAGATTTCAAGCTCGTAAACGATCGTTGCTTGAGATCGCAGATTTCAAAACTATAGTTCGACAGTCGAAGTTCTCTTGTTGAACTTGATCTGAGTACAGGTAAAGCACTTTAGTTCGACAGAGTCGAACCTTAGGGTTTGTCGAACTAGAGTGAGTGTCAAACTTGAGTACGTGTACCGAATTTACCGTGGTAAAAACATCGTCAGTTTCACACCGTAAACTGTGCAAACAACTACGAATGGTTCCTCCAACATTGTCTACGGCCGCGGGCAATATCCTTTATTTCATTTAATTCTTCTAAAGTATTCATAACCAAATCACGATCTTTACACTTTAAGATCTTCCATCAATTGGCAATTGGAGGACTTCGACGGCGTTTTTGCTTCGCATCGAAGACGATCTGGAAGGGTTGACATTGTCAATTTAATCAAGTCCATCAATAATTTAAAGAGGTGATTGCCGGGATCCAACCTATACGCCCTTTTAAGTTTTCATTCATAGTTACGGCACAAACAAAATATTAGGGGTCGTTCACATATTACGTAATCATTTTTGGGACATTTTGAAAATAGTCACGCGCGGATAAATCTAAAAATAAAATCATGTAATCCTCAATTCGCGATTGGTGATCCAAATCGGTTATACTTATTGGAGATATTTAAGGCATCATGGCACTGTGGTCACTAAAACAATGAATAAAAATATTAAGTATTATAGTTATACATTGACGGATGTTACTCGTCTAAATTTCTTCGAAGTAGCGCGCGCCGCTTTCTTCTCGTAATGGCACGAGCTCGAAATGGCACGAGCTACAAAGTGAAATTCACGCGCGAAGCGTGCACTCCGCGCGGCCGGCCAGTGCACAGTTGACAGTATCGGGCCGCCGCGAAAGCCACGATACAGCCTCGGCTCGCCTAAAGATTCACGTTACCTGGGGACCTCAGGCTATTATGTATTATGTTCATCGGATGATCATCATTCATATTATTAACATTAATTAGCTACAAAGGATTGTCGGATTGACATCGTCAATTAATTAAGTGTTGATCACAATGCTGGCAAGCATTACCGTCGCCCTTATATTCACAATACTATTTACCCCCTATACTATTATATCCCCTTTATTGTTTTCCAGGCATTAAGACTCATCGAAAGTAGTTCAGCAGGTATATTTAAGTTCAAAACATTCTAATTCAATGTTAAAGATGGCAGAAATAAAAAATAGTTATATGGAGGTTTTTAAGAAATTTGCGCAAAATACGCGCCAGCATGTTATACGAAATTAGGTAAAAAACCCAAAATCGCCATATTCAGGTGCCTTAAAAACCATGATAAAATTGAGTTAGAGATCTGAAACTTTGCAGGGCGTCTAGACCTTGTCCAAATCGACTGTAAACAAAATTTCATGTTTCAGGAGTATCGGGAAGTGGGTTTTCTGGAACCCCTGTTTTACAACAGATTGTCGTGAAGTATAGTATAGTGGTATAGACGCTTTGGCAGTCAATTGTAGCCTACATTTAAGTGTCCGTAGATTCGAAAGTATAAACGATACAGTCATCTCGAACCACAGGTTTTAAAGGTAATCGTTTAAGCTTTAGTTTACATTGTATTGAAAAATAATTTAACGTCATCATCATCACTTGATGACGTCATCAAATTAAGTCTTTTTAAAACTTGATTTTTGACAAAGTAACAACTTTTCAAATCGATTTTACACCATTAAGGAGTAATTTTATTCAAAATCTGAGGAAATTATCATCTTAGATAATTGTTCAAGCATTCCGAAAATCTACCGGAAAAGTTTCCTACCTTGCTCCTTCATAAAGATATTTGCTATTGAAGTTAGTGCTTTTTTGAAGAATAATTTTATAAAAACACAAAAGTTGTGAATTAGTATTCTCTGGTGTTGGGCCATCCCTTGGGTTGTGGAGCTCAATTTTGCTTCCTAAAGGTCTAAATTGTGTTATAGGCTAGTTTTAAAGTTAAAAATCAAAAAGTTGCACACGTGGGGTCACGCCCAAATTGATTTAAAATAGCTAAGGAAAGAAAAAATCACTAAAAATTTTGATTTTCACGATTTTTATCCACTTTGGAGTCCCGTTGTGATCCAAGTTCTTTTTGAAATCTTCTGAAACATTGCATGCTTATCAAACTATATATTAAATACCACTATGCAAAAATTTACGGTGATTCAATATTGTATGCGCACGCAACGTCCGCTCAAAGTTTGCACGTGCGAAAGGTGAGAATTTTGCTCATTCGTGATTTCGAATATATTCTGCTTTCCACGATATTTAAATGGCATTATATATGAATTTAATGCCAACTTGAATGAGTAAAAAGTGCCATATTCAGTCGGCTATCGACAGATATACCTACCTAAACACAAGGAAACGTTTTCAAAGGCAGAATTTCGAAATCGTCGAAATTACCTCCTTGTTAATGAAGTTTCGACTGTGTAAATTATCCTGACATTATAATCAAAAAGAGATGATATTTGACCAAAACCCATAATCATGGGTAGAGTTTACCGCTGCCAGTGTCTCTCTTTTCGAAACAAAAGGAAATGATATTAATTTGAGGAACCGTCCGCTAATGCAAATTGATACCGAGAATGAAATCGGTCGCTCGCTTTTCCCATTTAATAAGCTTTATTACAATTCGTAAGCCGTGCATGAATGGGAAAAGCGAGCGACCGATTTCATTCTCGGTATCAATTTGCATTAGCGGACGGTTCCTCAAATTAATATCATTTCCTTTTGTTTCGAAAAGAGAGACACTGGCAGCGGTAAACTCTACCCATGATTATGGGTTTTGGTCAAATACATGGTATTAAACTGCATGCTATCCATAACCATTTTTTCCCTAAAAATGGTTTTCTCAGCAACTCTGACCTATTACATTAAAGCTTCACATAGCCATGTGCCTACGCGTACTGCGTGACGCGCTTGTTTCACAAGTAGGATTGCCATCTATAGAGCCCTCTTTTGCCGCCTACGGCGGTCGCGCGCTACTGCAAGCGAGAGGGCTCTGGTTAGAGCAACATTAAAGCCGATTGTTGTGATTTATTTATTAACCATTTATCATTGTTAGGCATGTAGACAAATTTCCAGTTATCGCAAGAGTTGTCTCACTTGTTCAGAACATATTTGTCTACATCCCTCATCATGGAAAAGTTTTTAAGCCCTCAGCGCTTGGACATCACCCTCACAGAGAAAGGTGACGAAGTCGCAGATACCTACCTGCACTGGAAACAGACTCTAGACAATTTTATTACTATTCTTGGTGAAAAAGCTAACACCGAAGAGACACAATATATGGTGCTTTGCAATTATGTGAGCCCCTCAATATATACAACTATCAAGGGTGAAACAAAGTTTTCGGAGGCAGTTAAGATCTTGAATGGTTTGTTTGTTAAAACAAAGAATACTAACTTTGCGAGATTTTGTTTATCTACACGGAGTCAAACTGAAGCTGAATCAGTTGATCAATTTGTCTTGGCGTTGCGGACACTGGCGAAACAGTGTAATTTTACCGAAGTATCAGCTGCTGTTCATGGGGAAGAGAGCATTAGAACAGCTCTTATCAGTGGGCTAAGGGACAAGCAAATTCGGCAGCGCCTAATGGAGGACACTAAAAGTTTAGATGATACCATCACTCTGGCTTGTACTCTGGAGCAATCAATCTCAAACAATGAAAAGTATAACGGTTCTAATCTAAATGGTATTGTTAAGGGAAACGATTCTGGACTGGATTCAAAGGATCATGCGGTTGTAGCTGCCACTCACGGCAATTCAGTTAGTCCTAATATAAAGTGTGGATATTGTGGTAAGGAGTACCATGTTCGAACAGCGTGTCCTGCCAATAATACTACTTGTAAAACTTGCGGTAAGCGCGGACATTGGGCACGAGTATGTCGATCAGCGACGGGTCTTGGGAAGACCGCACCTAATGATTACTTCTCTAAGAAGAACTCTGCGAACAACGCTTATACTCCAGTTAACAACGCCTACAACGTCCCGTCAGCTGATCAGCCCCAGCAATCATCCCCATTCTCTTATCTTTGTGCTATGTCTCCATCGACACCTTCAACGCTGTCTCAGACAACC